CTTCCCTTTCTAATTACCTGTTCCTTCTTCTCCTCCTCCCACCTAACCTCATATCCTTGCAGCCTGACTGATGGTTAGCTGATGATCATCTGGACAGCAAAGGTTAAGGTGACTCCCCTGCATAAGTCACGCCTCATTAAGTGAGCTCACAGTGTCCCAGTTCACATACTGGTGCATTTCTCCCTGGATGAATTTAATGGGTTGTGGAGCAGTAACAAGCCACCATGAAAAATATTTGGAGCTGACATGTTTGGAGAAGGAAAACAATGTTTGCCATCATTTTCACGGTGATCAGAGACGAGGGAGTTACTGTAGGCGCCTTGGTGACACCAGCATCTGTTCTGGAAACTGGATTAGGCCAAATCCAAAAGGAGGGCAGGCCTTCCTCTGGAGAGTCTTCCCTCAGGATAAATATTGATGGAAGTGTGTCCCAAATGGAGTGAAAACAACTGTTAACCCCTCTGCACTGCTGAAATGTTGTTAACAATGCTGCTAGCCCCGCTATCTCCCACAGCCAGAGAATCCACTGACACAAACACCACATCGCCATCATTATAGCCACAAGAGGTGATCGGAAATCATATTTCTCTGTTCTACAACATTAACACGCTGCATTGAGATGCTGCAAGTCTTCTGACAGAAGCAAAATCACTTTATGAGAGCAAGCGGGCACCAGCCGTGCGTTTTGGCAGCTGTGATCCGCAGCAAGCTTGTTGTGATTCCTGGCACCAAATGTACCATCAGCCTTGCACTGGAATGAAACTCCACTGCCCCCAAGTTAACACAAAGCCAGGCAATGTCTTGTAGCCACACATCTCGCTCCCCAGCTAAAGAGAGTACGGTGAGCTTAACGCAGAAATGTGAAAACATTTCATCCATATTCTAAACATTTATCGGTTTGTCTGAGAAAGGACATGCAGACCTATAGATGCAGATAAAAGCAGCTCTGAATTCTACGAGAGCCCTGCTTGAATGTTTGTATGAACCAAATGCAGATGTCTAAACTATCGAAAGTTAAGTTTTTCTTGCATTAGTCATATCAGTGAGCTCTTCTGATGAATTCATTTGTAATATATGTCGTTTTTTTTAAACACAGTGCCAAAACAGTCTTCTGTCTTGAAGGTAGAGGAGGGATTTGTGCCGATTTAGGAAAGTGCCAAAGCCTCGAACCTCCTATCAAGCTTTAATAGACTTTCAGTTATTTGATGCTAGTTAATGTTTCATTCTTAACACACTGAAAGTATCTTTGCTGCAAGTGGGGATGTTGTTGTACCTGCTGACTCTATGAGATACCTTACAGGGCGATTTCTTTATTATTCGTAAGCTAAAATAACTTAATCACCTAACTGGTACCAATGTAAAAAAAAACAACACACACCAATTATTTCAAAGTGCATCGATTGCATCAAATTAAATTAAAATTATTATCAGTAGTTACAATTGTCAATCACAGGATTGGTGCACTTCTAAGGGAAAATATAAAACCACTAAAAACGTGCAATTTTTAAGTGTAATTAAAGCACAATAGCAACATTGTTTTTATTTTCCTCCTAAAAAGAAAATTACCATACAAAAAGTATGAATTCCTAAATAATAATAATAATTGATTTTTATTAATACTTTAGTGTTTACAAGAAATGTCAAAATATTACATATTCAACTTGCTTTTATTTATTTCAGCCAAACGTTGAATGAATGCATGATCACATTCCTTCCTATTGCAGATGGTCATGCAGTGGGAGTCAGTGTGCACAGAATCTGATTAGCTCTGTGAGCACTGTGGAGACTAAAGTGAATGATCTACTAACAAAACTCAGTTTTTCTTCATAGAAAGCTGACAAAATGAGGTTTCACCATCAGATGACTGTGGGTTGGAGTTGGGTTTTGATTAATTAAGAAAGAGACAGAAAACTTGACATCTATATTGTCTCACAAACTGATCCGAGACACATTTAAACTGCAAGATGTTTCCCAGTAAAGAGAAGATGGGATTCCTGGTTAAAAAAAGTGAAGAAACAGAGAGGAAACAGCAGAGAGAGCAAAGCAGACGAGCAGCATGGAGGGAGAAAGGCCAAGCATCAGACAGGGCATTCATTACCACCTGACTGACCTGCATATTGCGCTGTGTGAGAGTAATGGGAAAGGACACACTCATCGGCCAAAGCCCAGCAAGTAAGGTGCTTTTCACTCCCCCCTCTCCTTCCTTCCTCTTTAGCAATTCGTCAGTTTCTTACTCGGTTCAATTTCTATTTTCAGACAATGTACTGTGAGATCCCGGTGTTTTCAAAAACTCCATAATAGGGGACTGAACCACGGTAATGCCATGGCTAATGTAATGCATAATGGATCACCTGCTTCTGCAAAACAAAACTGCCCAGTTATTAAGTACTACTGTTCTTCTTTTCCTGTGTTAGGTACTTATGTTAGTGGCATACTTTGTCAAAAAAACTAAAATATTCTGAGGTGAATAACTATCTGTGTAGATGTAGGCATGTTAGCAGCTTTTAAGGCTGTCCACAGGAAGGCTTTGAAGGAAATGTTAAATGTATAAATGCTCTTAGTGGTAATTCTAACATGCTTATGATGCATGATCATGAGTAGCATCTTAGTGTGTTAGCAGTGGGTAAAAAGCACAAAACAAGGTGCGAGACTTGCAGGTGTTTAGTTATAAACCTGTAAAAGCACTCGAAAATAAAAGAAAATATATTTATTTTTTTGGTGTTTTAGGTGGCAAAGTGTGGACTGACCAGCAATGCAGGAAACAGCAGTAGAATAAGAAGCAGAGGAGGATTATCTAGCTGGGAGGCAAATCATGGACTTGTCTGTTTAGGGCATTTCACTCCACGTGGCGCCCCGGCCTCTCAGTGACTAGATCACAGATGAATCTAACATGTTAGACAAAATGACAGCAGAAGATGGAAACTCTAGGGATCATGCAAATTATAAGAATTCATCATTAAGGGAAAACAGATATTTGCATTGAATTTCATGGTAATCCATCCAGTACCTGTCAAGGCATTCTACTAGGTGACAAAATTCTCAAAGTGCCAAAGGAAAATTGAAGATTACCATGGTCAACAGTATTCAGTATCTCACATGCATATGTTATTATTGTTAAAAATAAGGGGGAGAGTGTCAAGAGATGGAAAATGCCCTGCATGGTTCAACAATATTTAAGAAGGGAGATAAAAACACTACATTCGATGCGTGAATGCACACATGTTTACAATTTTTTTATTTCTTAATCCATAATTTGCAGTTAAGAATTACATAAAGTTAAAAGAACAAACATCATTGCTGGGCTTGAAACAACAGTGGCCAATGTTTATCAGTTTGTTATAGTGAACAGAAGCTTTTGTTTCTACAAGCAGTGCAGACAACGCACTCAGAAAAACACTTTCTATATATTCCCGGGTTGTTAAAATTGACTTTTCAGTTTTTCATCCCTTTCAAGTGAAGCAATGTGAAAATATCTCCAGCTGTATATTGGAAATGTTCTTTCCTTTGGACTGCCGTAGTTGTCTCTGCATAACAAGAAGCTACAAAATCAGTTCCTTGGTTTTCTGTTATTGTGAGCAAATTGAAAAATTGTACTTAAGCCAGATACATATTTACATAAGTACTCCAACTGAAGTAAGTTACTTTAAATAATTTAAATGCGACATTATGTTAAATTCGCAATTTTTACGGTTCACAAATATCAGTACATATCTGTGCTCCCTGTGCCGTGTTCAAATCACAGACGTGAGTTTGAATGAGGTTAATCAAAAGCCTTGGCACCAAGTCTGCACAAAAGAACCAAAGTGAAGTTATATATAACTTTGGTTATCTCTCTCTCTCTTTAGTATATATATATATATTCAGTGTTGGGGA